CCGCTCTTCTGCACAACTCTCCTCCCCGAAGTGCTTCTCTGCTCAGGTGTTATGTTGGTTCTTTCATATGTTAGTTGCTGAGGTGCATCTGTTGTCCCTCTAATGGCTCCTTGGCTGGTTTTGGAGCAGTGGGAGCTTCTCAGCTTCTTACTGGAGCCACTCCTGTGGCCCTTCCCTCGCTACCAAAAACCCCACCAAACCAGAACAATTTTTCTGCTTGATCACTGATTTCATGTGATCAGAAGTTCCTTGGCATTCTGATTTCTAGCTTGACCGCATCATGAACTTAGGCAGTTTCATGGGTAAGTTTTCTGCCTCATTCTGGGAGGTGAGAAGATTTTTCCACAGTGTTGGTCCATCACAGTCATTCCTAGCACCTATTGCTGAATAAATTATTGCAGTTCAGTCATTCATTACTGTTTTTCACTTTTACCAACAGATAAGTTTTGACTACATATTTATATTTCTTTCTGAACGAATTATTTTGTGTCTTTAATTGATAGTTTTCCTAAAGCCCTTAGGTATACTTAGTCAGGGAACTTGCCTGCATAAGATATTCATTTAATGATAATGCTTTTAGCCAGAAAAAGGGGAAAAAAATACAGGCACTTACGGTGCACAGCTAACTTTCCAAGGACAATATAATTATGAGACCTTATATGAAAGGAGTTTTCACTTAAGCCAGGCAGTTATTTTGAATGTATTATTGTTGTGTGTTGAGAAAGAGAAACTGTATGCCCTGAAAACATTTATTTGAACTATGGTGCTTTACTGACATGGCCAAAGTTTTAACCATTCCTACATAGATTCTTCTGAATAGAGTGCAAAGATTGGTTTCAGGACTTTCAGATACAAAAGATGCTTTTTTTTGCAAGATATCCCCAATGATCAGTTCACTTCCTTAAATTTGCAGTGGTCCTTCTTTACCTTCATTGGATTATGTTTGCATTCTTTTTAAAATTTAATTTATGATGGTACTTGGAATATTTGGTTAACATATACTACAGTTTTCTATTTTTCTTGGTAACTCAACTCATTAAAACAAAATTCTGGAAGAACTGGCAAGGCTTAGGCTTAAAATGGCGCTATAAAACCGTTTCATTGTTGATGTCCAAAGTGGGCCTGCCTTGAACAGTCTTCATTGGACAAATGTATTGATGAAATTTAATTACAGGTTTTAAAGTTGAGGTTGAAATTTTGTTAAAATAGTAGAAATTTAAGGAAAATATTTACTTTTCTGATCAAATCTGCCTTGAGTGGAAGCAAAAAACCAAAATTAATTTAAATATTGTACTGTTGGTAGTTACAGCAATAATATTTTAATTTCTGTAGGATACTGTTTCAGAATTAGCTATTGAATTATTTCTGACTTGTTATATAATAAACTAATAGCCTGAGATTGGAGAGTAGAATAATATTAAAAGTTAGAAATTGTATTGAAAGTAGTATTATTTATCATGCTTAAAAATATTTCTAGAGAAATAAATTTTTATGTGAATTCTTTTTTTTTTCTTCACCACCTATAAATGAACACTTGATCAATGAGATTTCCTCTTTTACTGGTTTGAACAAACATGAACTGACATTTGTTCAGTTCCTCAGACTTACAGTCAGAGGACTCATCCATTTGGCACGTCCTTTGTGGCAGTGAGTATAGAGATTGTCCAGAGTATTGAAAAAACACCACCACTAAAACCAATTTTGAAGTGTCTTTACAGCTCATACAGATTAATCCATCTGTACCATATGAATGATTCCTATTAGACTCCAGAAATAGTAGTAGTTTTTGGTATTTTCACTAGATTGAGGTCATCTGTATCTTTCTAATCTACTTTCCTTACAAAGAGGTATACATATACAGACTTAAATGCCATGTCATCATCCCTGTAAAACACGTTTGGATTTATTGTTAAATTACAAGTAGTGTAAAACTGGTATTAATTATTCAACAACAAATGAAGTAAAAATGTTTTGAAGCATACAATTTCTTTTCATTTTTCATGTGCTTTAAAAATAAATCTGATTAGCAACTAATATGTAAATATAAATAAAACTATGGAAGTTGAACACTTTCTATAGGATTTATCTATGGTTGCTGTAATTTTTGGTTTGTGAATAGGAACCAGTTTACAGCAGTCTTACCATGGGTGTCATCCTTCACTACAAAATTGTTTAATTACTCTATTTTACAGACTAAAGTCTCTTATCCTGTAGTTGTGGAAAATATTCCTAGCTCCTAGAATTGTGACTGAGCTCTACTCACATTTAGATTTATTTGTGGAATTCAGTGTTTAACAAATGTGTGTTAATTTGCAATGCATGAACTCTGCCAATAGTGTATTTATAACTCACAGATATAACCTTGAGATGAGAAGAGATCTGTGTGGGACTTGTTCTAGAAATGTCCCCAGGAGATTATTTTTACTAGTGGAGAACTTTCTTTTAAACCATTCAAATCCATGTCAGTTTTTATGCAATGTGTTTGGACATGCTTTTCAGAAGTCCTGTCAAAACAGATGTTGACTAGCAGATGAGGAACTTTAGGGGCAATTGTCATTTAGCAAGACCTATTTTCTGTAAAGCTCTGTTTATTGCATTTGAATTCTAGAGTGTCTCTGGATTCTCTGTTAAGTATCTATCTGAGCTTTTCAGAACCTTCCCCCACCGCCCCCCCCCTCCCGAAGATCAGTGTATATAATATTGCTACACTTGCTCTGATGATTTTTTTGTCTTGCTTTCCAAGTGTGGGGCATGTTAACTTTTTTTGCTAATTGCCTTGAAAGTGTTCTTGAGATAATATTTTTTTCTTGTGTGTTTTTATTTTCAGGTTTGGGGTGGGTTTTTTTATGATAAAAACTGCATTTTTAAATGAAATTTGCGATATACAAGTGTATTAATATTTTCTTTGGCATTTACGAAATTGTGGTTTCTAATCTAATTAATGCTTTTCTGACTATGTTGTTAAAATAATCACAGTCCAAACTTCCTGCTGTTCTTCAGAATGTTAGCCACTGATCCAGTTTTAACTTCAGTTCTGTTGTATACTTTACTACTTTGATTGCTTCTAAGTGCACGGCACATTGGTTAAGTTTTGCTTTGGTGTGTGTGTACAGGATGATAAATTACTAAGTTTCTATATAAAACCGAGTTTTGTGCTTTTTTACGTGAGGCTAACAAGTGGTAAACTTCTATTGTGAGAAATGTTTTAATTTTTGGGGTACTGCTTAGAAGGAACTTGCTTCCCTAATGGTGAGTGGTCTGTGAAAGAGTCTTTTTTTCTTTTAAAAAAGTGTATTTAGTCCTCTGGTAATAAATAGTAGGAAGCTACCTGATGTAGAACATTGAGCCATTTTAACAGGTATTCTTATGTTTTAAGAATTAATCCATTTCCCCCCTAAATAGTCTAATTTTCAGTCTAACACATAAAACTATTAATAACTAGTGAGCTCTAAAAACTGGAGAGAAAAAAAAAATCTGATATTTTTAACATATTCTGAAATGCAGGATGATCCCTTTAATGCCCTAATATGCTTTATTTGAATGAGTTTTAAATAGTGCCCTAAACCCAGGACTTTTGATGACTGATGTGTTGCTGTGTGTCTGTGATACAGATCTGGATCAATTGCCAGTGAAAATTTCTATCTGAATTAAGTATGAGCTCATGCTCACATTGCAGATTTTTTATGTGGAACATTGAGTATGATATTTATTCCAAGGTGTCCTATATAAGTGTATTGGTTTGTATCCTGCACTGCACTTCCCATTTGTTAAACTGTGTGACAGTCTGGGTTCTATATGTTCCTTGAACCAGAAGTGCTGTTTCTTACTATAGACCATATACAGCAAAAGAAGGAGAATATGAGGCTGTCATTCAGTACTGTGGCCTTTTCCATGTCCCCATCTCATTGAGCAATGGGTCCACATTTTTCCCAGACTTCTTTTGGTCACCTATGTAATTATAGAAACTCTCCTTGTTTTTGACATCCCTGGCCAGAATAATTTCCATTCATGCTTTAGCTTTCCTAACTACATCCCTGGATACCCGGAAATTGTTTCCGTTTTTCTCCTGCATTACCTGTCCTGACTTCCTTCTTCTGCATACTTCCTTTTTATGTTTTGTGTTTGTTCATCCATGCAGGCCTCCTGCCATTTTTGCCTGACTTCACATTCACTGCGATGGAGCTCTCTTAACCTTGAAGGAAGTGATCTTTGAATATTATCCAGCTTTCTTGTCCCCTTCTTCCTTCAAGAGCCTTATCCCATGGGACTCTTCAAAGCAGATCTTTGAAGAGGCCAGGGTCTGCTCTCTTGAAGTCTGGTGTTGCGTGCTCGCTTTTCCTTCTTTCTGCCCCTAGGTTCCTGACCACCACCTTTTTATGGTTACTGCAGCCAAGGCTGCATTTAATCTTCACATCCCTAGTGAGCCCCTCCTTCTTGATGAATATGAGGTTCAGCAGACCATGTCCCTTCATTGGTTCCTCTATCACTTGTGTCAGGAAGCTACTGTCAATGTGCTTCAGAAACCTCCTAGAATGCTTTTATCTGGCTGGGTTGTTCCTTCAGCAGATATTAGTGTGGTTGAAGCCTCCCATGAGGACCGGGGCCTGTGAATGTGGGGCTGGTTTTTGATCTGTCTGGGGCATGATCAACTTGTTTTTCCTGGCCAGGTGGACTATATTAGATGCCCACTATAATGTCACCTTTAATCCTAATTTATAAGCTCCCAGCTGCCTCCTTTTCCATCCCCAGGCAGAGCCCCTTGCACTCCAGTTGCTACCTCATGACAAGAGTAACTATCTCTCCTTGTCTTCCCTTCCTGCCCTCCCTTTTATCCCTCCACTGCAACATTCCAGTCATGGGAGCCATCCTACAATGTGTTGTGTAAAAGGGTATGCATCTGCAGCGAGGCTGAGGAAGGCCCTCCTGTTGAGTCACAAAATACAGAAAGGACCCCCTTGCTTTTTAAACTCCTTCTCAGAGAGCAGTCTCTGTGCCGCTGGATCCAATCCTAGTCCTAGACTTGGACAATGGTCTGTGTCAAAAGGATTAGGTGTGTGCAGCCACCTCTTATAATCAACGTTGCCTGTCTCAGAGGTTTGCAAAGGACTTGCTTGTGTGCTGATGGGTTCCTAGCAGGCTAATGGTGCTGTTAATTAACGGTGGGGGAGGAAGTAAAAACAACACTTGCTCAGATGGAACCTCCTTCTCAGCTATGTTGTCACAGCCCTGGCTATCATTCTTTGCCTCCGGTTATTGTTGGCACAGCCATCTGGCTACAGGACCTTTGCCCTATCCCAGCGATGACATGAATTACAGTGATTGTAAATACTTTGAAACTGCCAAGTTACAGAACATCTTCCAGCATCTGCACTGGAGAACCCATGGTTCATCTTTTGGCCCAGCTCATTGCCAGAAAGAGATAAGTGTACTAAATTAGCCTGCTTTCCTATCCCAAAGCTGACACAAGATAAGCACGCCAATTTGAGACAACTCTGGCCACCTTTCCTATACTGTGTGTCTGTCATCATAACCCTGGAACTGCACACATCCCTGAAGTCATCATGTTTATACCCCACAGTGCATGCATTAGTAAACAGGCACTTGCAGGGCACTGACTTTCATTAAGGGTCATATTCATGGCAGCATAGGTAAGGTTTGTGGAAAGCCATGCCAAGCTTAGGAAAGACTACCAATATTGAAGTACCAATGACAGCTTAACAGGGGATAGTCATCAGACTTCAGCCCTCTGGGGATTCAGCTGTCAGTCTTGTTCCCTCACCACACTAGCAGAAAAAACTTATTTCTCTGTTACACTTCTGCCAATTCTGGATTATATCAGTTGCTTTGTTGACACTTCTGGTTGATGTGACATGTGATCTGTGCTCTTTTTCTGGTTGATGTGACATGTGAACTGTGCTCTTTTTCACAGGTCTTTACTGACAAAGTTGTGCCAGTAGATGAGATTTATTTTTAGGACTGAGTCAGTATCTTCAGTTTTTTATGCTTTTAGGTCCTGAAGTAATTAATTGGCTATTCAAGCATCTGCTACTGCCTAAGCAGCTGTTGAATGACAGTGGTCAGGTCTGTACAACTTGTAACTGTGATTGTACTGGAGACCCAGGTAGCTGGGATAAAAAGTGCACAGAAAGAAAGATGTTCCATTGTGTTTATGTGTCTGGGTAGAGCTGGATAGTGAGTTAACAAGCAGATCAGACAGAAAGAGGACATGTTGGATTGAGGTAGACTCCAAGAATAGCTTGATGAAAATATATCAAGGATAGATCTTCCTGTTGGTAAAAGCAGCTCTTGGAACACCTGCACCAAGGTAGCAGCAGACTGCCTGGTTGTTGTTTTTTTTGTTTGTTTGTTTGTTTTTTTAATTCTGACTTTTAATGATGTTTGCTTAAGAGAGAAATGGCTTTTCTAGTTTTCTCCCTCACAAGGGCCTGGTCTTAATTTTTCTCATCTTTGTCAAAAGAAGGAAGTTGCCCTTCAACAAAGGGGAGATGCAAACGGTTTTGCAGGAAATCAGTTTTATCGAGATTTATGTCTGCATTATCTGGGCAACAGTAAACTTTCTCATGGGAATTGAGAACAGTTGTGGCCCTCCTGAGTTTCTTGTGGACTTGTTTGAACGTCTTGATTTGAGTTCTGTACTGTACCAAGTTCCCAAGACTGCACTGGTTACTTATTTGAGTAGATTTTCCGAATATTTCTTGCAGTATCAGGAGCAATGCTTGCTGGCTGCACAGTATCCGTAATTTCTGTCACTGTTGTGTGTAGTGGCATCTGTCTAACAGCTGAATTGTTTGCAATGTGTGATTTGGTGGCAGCCAAAAAACCCCTCCCAAGGCGGGGTGAACAGAAGAAAAAGCACTGATCTTGCTCATTGAGAAAAGTGGTGCCATTCTTAGGAAGTCTGAAGATAAGGGCTTGTAGTGTTGGTTGATGAAAAAGGAACAAGAAGCAGCTAATTAAATTATTATGGGTTATCAGGAAGAGGTCTTTGGAGACACATGTTTTTGTATTTATGACCGAAACAGTGTTGATAGATACAGTGTTTTAGCTTTTGCTGAACAGTGCTTGCACAGCTTCAAGGCCTTTGTTTTCTACTATGTCCCCCACAGTGAGTAGGCTGGGGCTCTGCAAGAGGTTGGGAGTGAATGTAGCTGGCATATCTGACATCTAGACCAAAGAGGTATTCCATACCACGGAATAAGGTTATACTTGTTCACAGAAATGTTCTTATTGTAAAAGACCTCTAAAATCGAGTCCAGCCATAACCTAATTCTACCAACTGTTATCCTAACTTTGCCAAGTCCAGTGCTTAAACCATTCCTAAGCACCACATGTATAACTCTTTTAAACACCTTCAGGGATGGTGACTCAGCCACCTCCCTGGGCAGGTCTATTCCAGTATTTAATTATCCTTTCAGTGAGTAATTTTTTTTCTAATACCTAATCTAAACCTCCCCTGGAGCAACTTGAGGCCATTCCCCTCATTACAACCTCCTTTCAGGTAGCTGTAGAGGGCGATAAGGTCTCCCCTCAGCCTCTTTTTCTCCAGGCTAAACAATCTGGGTTCCTTCAGGTGCTCTTCATAAGACTTGTTCTCCAGACCCTTCACCAACTTTGTTGCCCTTCTCTGGACATGCTTCAGCACCTCCATGACCTCCTTGTAGCGAAGGCCCAAAACTGAACACAGCCCTCGAGGTGCAGCCTCGTCAGTGCCAAGTACAGGGGGACAACCACCTCCCTAGTCCTGCCTGGGATACTAGGATGCAACCCAGGATGCTGTTGGCCTTTTGGGCCACCTGGTTACACAACTGGCTCATATTCAGCCAGCTGTCAATCAATACCATGAGGTTCTTTTTCACTGGACAGCCTTCCAGCCATTTTTCCCCAAGCTTGTAGCATTGCCTGGGGTTGTGACCCAGGTGTAGGATCCAATACCTGGCGTGGGCCCATTGATCCACCCTGTCCAGGTCTCACTGCAGAGCCATCCTACTCTCAGGCAGATCAGCAGTCCCTCCCAACTTGGTGTCATCTGCAGTCTTACTGAGGGTGCACTCAATCCCTCATCCAGATAATTGATGAAGATATTAAAGAGAATTGGCCCAACACTGAACCCTGAGGAACACCACTTGTGACCGGCCACCAGCTGGATTTAATTCAGTTCACCCCAACTCTTTGGGCTTGGCCATCCAGCCAGTTTTTTTACCCAGAGAAGAGTACACTGGTCTAAACCATGTTTAGTTAGTCTCTCCAGGAGAATGTTGTGGGAAATAGTGTCAAATGCTTCACAGGAGTCCATATAAACAATATCCACAGCTTTTCCCTCATCTACTAAAAGGATCACCTTGCCATAGAAGGAGATTAGGGTTGGCAAGCAGGACCTGCCTTTCATAAACCCACGCTGGCTGGGCCTGATCAGCTAGTTGTCCTGCATGTGCTGCATAATCACACTCATGATGATCTGGTCCATAACCTTCTTTGATACCAAGGTCAGACTGACAGGCCTGTAGTTACCTGCATCTAGTTCTGTAGCGAAACAGCTGTTGGTGGTGAATGAGTAGAAGTGTATTTTGACTGAAAGTTGTGTTAATTAATGAGTAAAAAATGGACTCTTCTATGGGACTAAAGCATTTTCTGGACATTTTTTGTCCTATATTTCTATGTTGTATATGTAGGTGCATATATGATTGATGTATCTACATGTGAAAACCTTTTTAGTGGTAAATCAAATTGTTTCTTGGCACTGTTGGTAGCTTTTTGTAAGTTAAAGAGAAATGAAAGTGTCTTATGCAGTGTGTGTTGACGTTTTGTCACTTTGACTTTTTATAAAGACCTTTTTGTTTTGAATCCATTTTATTCTTTTCTTAGTGTTAGGTTTCACTCTTTGTGGAACTTCATCTTGAAGAATTACTCTTTGCTAGCCATGGATTCAGGCATAGTAACAAATATTTAACCCATTATAAATGGATGATGGAATAATTTGGAAATACCTTGTTTTAATTTAAATTAAAAATTGCTTTTGTTTTACCAGCAAACACGTATCTCTTTATGATGCAAGCTCGTGGTATAATGTTGAGAGAAAATGTAAAAACAATAGGACATATGATCAGATTGTACACTAACAAAAACACTACACTGAATGGCACAGGTAAGAATATTTCTTATTTAATTTATTTTGAAAAAGGGCTTTGTGGGGGGAAAAAGTGTCAAATCTTAATGATGTATCTTCATTATGAAAACCTAGACCGAAGTCCTACCTTTTTGTAACTAGTGTGAAGGCTAAAACGTTACTGTTTATCAGTTCACTGTAGTAGGAAATATTTGTCATGGCTATAACAAAGATAATTTAATTATTGTTCCTTTAATGCAGTAAAATATTTGGAATGCTAGGAATTTGTTACTTACAAAGTTAATCCTTTTACCTGCATGATGATATGTTACAAATTCAGTGCATAACAAGTTTTTACAAAAATCAATTCCTCTTTTTAAGATTTTCCTGAAGGAAACAATTGTAGTGACTCTGTTGCTCAAACAACAATGTATCTTCCAGAAAACTTCACTTACTCTCCTTACCAGGCTTGTCCAGAGAAGCTGCCTTACATGAGTAAGTTCTAAACTGACCTTAATGTTTATCTAGTAAATTGGATTGTATTTAAAACAAAATACAATTTTATTGTAAAATATAATTGTAAGGAGTCCAAATGTGGAGCATAAAATAATTAATAAAACACAGCTGAGAACTGACAGTAGTGCTTAGCAGAATTATGCCTATAACTATTTTCTTACTAAACCTTTTGGCCTCTTTACAAATCAAGTAATGTGTTTTAAATTGTATTTACAAATAATTTTATTTTCTACAAATTCAATACTGAATGTTTTTGTTAACATATGCTTTTAGAAAAAGTACCTGTTCAGCGTTGCATATTTTGAGTGTATAGTTAAAAATTTCCTTTCTGGTACTGGTATTCCTAATACAGAGACTTGTAAGTCAGAAGCTAGTTCTCAAATCTTCATCAGCTAATCACATTTATCTCAATATAGAGGAAACTGAACAAGATGCTGTAGTGAAGTGAGAATTAATGCAGGTAAGAAAGGGCAAATATCCTGTCTTAATGAGGGGTTAGTACTTACATAACAAGTGAACAGTTGTGATCCTCAGTATCACAGGCTTTCAAACCCAGCTATTTAAGATCCCAAGCTATTAAATAGAACTTGATTAGGTAACCCTAACTTTATTTGTCTTTAAGCCTAGACTCTCAACCTATTTTGTTTGAAAGTATTTAGTTGCAGAGGACTGTCATGCAGAAACAAACTGAGTTGAGTACCTCAGCACCACTACTCTTTGGTTTGCTGGGATTTTATAAAATCTGTAATACCACAACCATCTTAAGTAGCAGTATGCCAGTATATGTAGAGGGTCTTATAAGCAAGTATTGCACAATTAAAGCAGTTATGCAGACTGAGATTGGAGGCATTATTTTATGTAATTAAGTGTCATGGAATCATAGGGGTTGTGAAGAACTTAAGATCATCAATCTGACTCCCATGCTGCAGCAGGAGCACCTGAAACAAATCACACAGGAATAGGTCCAGACGGGTCTTGAAAGTCTCCAGAGAGGAAGACTCCACAACCTCTCTGGGCAGCCTGTTGCAGTGCTCCATCAACCTCACAGTAAATAAGTTTTTCCTCATGTTGAGGTGGAACTTCCTGTTTTGCTGCTTGGTACCATTTTCCCTTGTCCTGTCTCAGAGCACCACTGAAAAGAGACTGACCCATTCCTGACATCCACCTTTCAGATATGTATAGACATAGTCCTTTACCTGATTTAATAATGTGGCTGAAAGGCTGTTGCCATGACTTGATCTTCTTTATGTAGACAAAGAATAGCTTTTTTAGGGAATATATTCTTAACATTTCTTAAGAACTGTACATTTTCATGGGAATTTCCCTTTTCTGCAAACTTGCCATTTTTCAGGTACAGACAAAATTCAGGGCATTGCTTACTATCCTCTGCCTTGTAGACAAAGCAATCCTTAAAAATCAAAAAGTGTTAGGTAGTTCAGTTTTGAATATAAAAAGAAAGAGGGAAATCACTTCTGGTGGTTACTGCTTTACCTTGACCTTCACCACTGATTGTTTGTTTGTTATTAGAGACAGTTCTTATATTTAAAAAAATTGCAGTCCCTTGGCTAAACCAGAATTCCTTCTTAGAAACCACTATTGAGTTTTCAGATTTTTTCTCCATGTTAGGAGTTGTTAGATTATCAGATTTGCTATAGGAAGCGAGGGATGATTAAGAATAAATATTTTTTGTGCTCTGCATTTGGAAGAAATCATAACTTGAGTCAGTAATTCATGGAATTACTTCAATTCTAGTAAATGTTTTGCAGACAGACATTTTTTTAGTGAGGAATTAATAGTAGCATTAGTATAGGTCTCAAAAGTAATTAGTTAAAGGAAAATGTCTCATTTGTTGTCAGAACGTACCAACTTAGAGAAGAATTAATAATTCTCTGTAAATATGTTGCTAGAAGTGACTGTTCATTAGTATCTGACAGTATCTATTATGCTAACTTTTTTTTTACTTGCTATATTTAAAATCAAACAATTGAACTACTGATTTGTAGGAGAAAATTTGAAGTTCGTGACATCTTCACACCTTCCAGAATTCTAACCTCATGCCTATTAGGCTAATACCTAACTTAAGCTGTGGGTTGTTGTTCTGCATGAGCAAATATAAGTATTTAATACTTATAGATCCAAACAGCGCTGCTGACAGCCGTAATGAATTACTTGTCATTTTTTCTTTAAAAAAAAGTAGTAGATCTTTTTAGGCTAATCATCTCAACAAAGAAGTTTACCCAGTGAAGAATACAGAAACAATGTTCATTATCTGTGTTTCTTTTCAAGGACTCAGAATTCTAAACTTTCTGTCTTACATTGTGAAGATACAGACATATAGCCAGAAGTATAAATCAGTTACTTATGATTTTAAACCATGTAGAAAACTGTCTTAAGCCAGTAGCAATTAGCCATGGTGTTATAGCCTTATTTCAATCTGTTTCCCTCCAGAAATAGGGTTTGACTTTAAGAATCATGTGGTCATTCTCTTCTGTAATATTGCAGATGTAAACAAATAAACAAAATTATTCCAATAGTACATATTTTAGCTACATTTGGAAACAAAAAATACAAATTTGAAAAATGTCAACTCCGGATAACCAGAGAAACAAGAATTATTATTATGCTGATTGAAAAATGCATATATCATTGATGCAGATTTGTTTACACTGACAGTTATTTAGAGTTGCAAAACTAGGGATGCATTCTACTCTGCCATCCTTGTTATCTGCCCCACTGGCTATATGTAATTCTACCAGAATGAGTCTATAGATCCCCTTATTGCTATTCTCTTTTCCATCTTTTTTGTTAGTAACAGCTTTGTGCTTGTCCTGTCCTCCTGAATTTAATAGAGAAATAATAATTTTAATAGACAATAATTCACTGCATAAGTTACAGTTCAGCAAAGAGACATCTTACCTTTTGGTTTTCATGTATCTTTTTGATTCCCATCTGTGTATTTAATTATAATCTAAATAAAACTTATCTGATTATTCTTTAATTCAATGAAATGTTGTAGGTGGTCCTCAGCCAGGGAAGAAGCTTCTTGAATTGCATTTAATTTGACTTCTTAGTAGTCTAAGTTTGTTCTAGAAGTCAAATACTCTTCTTTATATCAACTTGCCAAATTTGTGTCATGGAAGTGTTACGTTAAAATGTTTTGTGCAAAGTGCATATGCTCTTAAAATAGGACAAACTAGTGCCTTTTGTGTGTGACTCAGTCTTTTAGGTTACAAACCACTGGTTGAGCACTGCTGTGCAAATTCATAAACAAGACATCTGCTTTAACATAGAAGCAGTACAAAAAAGTAATTGGCATAATTTTAATACTGACTTGAGAGGTAGATGAAGAGCAGATCAGTTTTGCAGTTTTATGAAAGAAAACCCTTATGTTAAATTTTTTTAAGCAGTCTGCTCAAGTCACTTCATGGTTTGTCTAAGAACTGGCACTTAATGAGCCATCAGAAATATCCAGATCTTCTGGTTACATCACACAGTACACTGGGGTTGAATATGCTTACACTATTTATAATAGTTATGAGAAAAGTCTATTTTATATTTTTTAAAAAAAGTTATCAGTGGAGGAAGTTCTACTGTCTCCAGAAGTAGTATCTTCTCGTATTCCAGCTACTGAACAGTTAAGTTTTTCCCAAGACTCAGTTGATACTCAAAACTGTATTTGCTTTTTTCTTCCCTCCTACAAGTTTATCAGATTTCTCCTTGCATTTCTTGCTGCTTGGAAAAAAGTTGGTTACCAAGTTATTGTGTCCTGGAAAAGATGTTTTTGTCAGTCTCTTCCTTTGTAGATGAACCAATACATTCAGTTTTTCTACACTATATAGTTTCTTAAGCTCATCTCATTCTTGATTTTTGTACAAAGTATACAATACTTTCTCTAATTCTGTATTTTTTGAAGCTTCATAACCAGCTAAAACCCTGGTTATAAAACAAACTAGTAAATATCTTCTCTGTCTTTCATACAACAGCAGTTAATGTATTCCAGAATGAGATTTGCCATTTTTGTACAATTGCATTAGAGTGTATTGTCTCAAATGAGTAGGTAATCCATTATAAACCTTCAAAACACCATTCTACATACCGCAGCATAACCAGTTCTTTCCTGTTTTGTATGTGTGTGCTTCATTTCTCCTTCAGTAACAATTCACACTTTTTAAAATTGGTTTCACTCTATTGATTTCAATATGTCTGATTTGCTTAAATTACTTTTTCTGTTCAAAATACTTTCTGCTTCCTCAGCTTTCTTTGTGGGTTGCATAAATATATTTGATTGCAGAATGCTAGACAGTAATGGAAGCAGTGAATGCTAAGCCCAGATATTTACTGAGATGCCTTTTCTTGCTCCCCACCAGTGACAGGGAAATACTTCTGATTTCTGTTTGCCCATCTCCTGTGTATTTTTGATGGTATCAATATTTCAGGGTTTATTATAGCTATTTTTTAAATGGTGTGGAGGGAATTTCATCATGTCCCATAAAGTTAGAAGCACCTTATATAAGTACTGCTTTACCATTCCTCCTTTTTATTTATTTATTATTTTTTTTTAATTTGAACTGTAAGCATCTGATCACGTACAAACTTTTCTCAGGAGTAAAGCACCTGATTACTTTGCATTATGTGATGTTTGCTTCCTTTTTTGATGTAGCAACTGACCTTATTTATCTTGTTCCATTAGATTCTATAAATAAACAGAAAAGTTCTTGTTGCTTCTCTGTCTCTTCGTAGTTTAAATTGATTTAGTGATTTATCTATTAATTTACTTAATTTGTACATGTTTATATATACTGATCCTTTCTTGATTGCCATTGTTTCTACTTTCTTTAAAATTTCTTTTTCAGGCTACTGAAGAGTTTCAGATACAACCATAATGATAATCTAAGCCTGTTAATAAATAAAAGCTTAAAATTAAATAAAATTATTAAATAAAAGCTTTAAATAAAAGCTCTATAGGATTAGCTTGTTCTGGTGCATAGTTCTACAGCCTTTTTTCAGCAGCGGTCAGGTTTCCTTTTTCTTCTAAAATAAGTAAATAAATGTGTGTTGGTTTAAATCTACTCTTGAAAGATCTTCTCCTTACTTTGCTGTTCCTGGTCCTTTTCTTCCTATAGTTATCTTTATTTTATTTTTTAAAGTTTCCTTATACATCTTCAAGTACTTCTACATTTAATCATTTCCAAAATCAAAATACTTCGTGTTATCTTCTGCTTTCTTCTGAAAACAATAGTTATTCCTAGTATGCTCCAAAATTTCAATCTTTCCAAATGATTTAGAGAGCTAGTCAATTCAGTGTTACAACATAAAGCAATCTTTTGGACACTAATAGGATCTTTTGGCTACGAGCACAGGGCATAAAATGTTACTTCTTTCATTGACTTAAAATTCCAACTCTCACCAAGAGCTAAATTTTTAGACAAAAATAAGTAAAATATGTTATGGTGTTTCTCAGATAATTATTGCAGTATTTTTAGTTGATGATCTAGTGTAGTAATTGCTTGAATTTCTAGTTAATGAGCATTACATTACTCTTCTCCCCAGATTTTCTTGACTCTTGTTTCTGCTTCTTGAGGGTATTTATTGTGAATCATTATTTCCAATTTTGAAATGTATACACATAACATAAGCTAACGACTGACAACTTTTAGCTATCAACTTAGTGTAAATATGTTCCCACAATAAATACTAACCTGATTTTTTTTCTACCTTACTGTTGCCATTATTCAGTGTCTTAGTGAATTTCACTCTCACCAATAGCCATTAGCAAATGCTGTTGGGCTAATTAGTTCTATCTGCAGGTAATTCTCAAATTCAGGTACTTGCTGGATGCATTCCAGGGGTGAATTAGTGGATGAAAGCTGTATCTGGAATTTAAACTGAGGAAGCCTATTGAGTGTAGTGATGATGCATTTTCTTTTTTTTTTTGTGGAAGTGCATGTGAGAAGGTATTGAGAATGTGATCATCAGTTCAGTAGTGCAGGTTATGTGGAATTGTTAAGAATGGTACTTGAAAGGTGACTGATTTTCTGGGATAGATATGGAATCAAATTATTTTGCTTGTTCTGTGTCTGCTGAAGTAAGTATTTTGTTATAGAATTTAAAGAAGGAATGTTTATATTGGGAAATACTGAAATTAATTCTGTAAAAACTTAATATTAAAGGGATAATATACTATTTCTTTTTTATCTGTAGGTAGTGTAACTACGATTTTCTGATGCTGTTTGTTGTATACCTTATAGTGTTAGATCTGTTGTCATAACTAAAATTAACAAATACATAATTTTTTTCCCTCTATTTAGGAGGCCTTATTGATGTCAATGTGAGTGAAATTAGTTTTGATGAAATTCAGCAATTGTTTTCAAAAGATTTAGACATTAAGCCAGGAGGACACTGGAAACCAAAAGACTGTAAGCCACGATGGAAGGTGAGATGTTGCTTTTCTCTTTTTTTTCCTGTTGGTGTGTAAGAACAGTTCACTGTTGCAAGCACTCAGTCTTTCACTGCTATGTATTTTATATAATATATAGTATGTTATATGTATTAGGCTTTCTGTGTTCAAGAAGAGGCTAAAGCTTGAAGAAAAACTTGAAATGGATTGTAAAGAACTTGTAAAGGTTTATTAACTGTTGTTACAAAACATTTTATATGGATGCAAACTTGTCCTAATATATGTTGCTTATAATTTATATATGCTTATAATATACATTTATGTATATATAATTAATATATGCTTACAATTAGAAGCAAGTGAACATAAAAGGAAAATCTTACTTATAGTTTGCCCAGATTTTTTTTTTTTAAATCATTTGAGTAAAATTCTAATATGCTTTTATAGCAGGAAT